TTTCTTTCTTTCTTTTAATTTACATCCAAGTTAGCATATAGTGCAACAATGATTTCAGGGGTAGATTCCTGAATGCCCCTTACCCATTTAGTCCATCCCCCCTCCCACAACCCCTCCAGGAACCCTCTGTTTGTTCTCCATATTTAAGAGGCTCTTATGTTTTGTCCCCGTCCCTGTTTTTATATTATTTTTGCTTCCCTTCCCTATGTTCGTCTGTTTTGTCTTTTAAAGCCCTCATATGAGTGAAGTGATATGATATTTGCCTTTCTCTAATTTTGCTTCGCATAATACCCTCTAGTTCCATCTACCAGCTTTCTAATTTCTAAATTTCCAGTTTATCATAGTTTGACAGTAAGTTATCTTGGGCAAATAAAATTATGTACATGTGTTTTCCCAAATATTACTTCACACAGCCTTCGATGAGGAATGTGTTGAAGAGGGAGAGGATATAAGGGTCTGAGACCCAGGGCAAGGCTAGCTGAAGGCTGACGGGGGCTCAGAAGGCGCTGTGCCCAGGCTGCTTTGCTTCTGACTACTCGGGAAGTGGGAAGGAAGTCCGTCCCACTGCTCACATTCTGTTGGAAGTAGCCTGTACTGCACACCGAAGCAAGATGATTCCCCTAGTGGATTATTAACAAAACAAAACAAAAACAAAAAACAAAAAAAGGCAGGGCCAACTCTCTGGACCACACTGTCAGTTTGGCTGAGTTATCCAATCTTTCCTTCTGGTAGGGGTCAGCAAGCGTTTTCTGTAAAGGTCCAGATAATAAATATCTCAGGGTTTGCAAGCCACATGGTCTCTGCTCCAACTATTCAACTCTGCTCTTGTAGCACAAAAGTACTTATGAACATAAGGTTAAGATATAAACAAATGAGCATGGCTCAGTTCCAATGAAACTGTTTTTGGACACCAAGATTTGATTCCATGTATTTTCATGTGTCGTGAAATATTATCCTTTTTCTTTTTTCCGCCAAGTGTTTGTATGGCTCACGGGCATACTGATGGGCCACAGTCTGCTGACCTGTTACAGAAGGTCATATACTATGTAACAGTTTCTTTAAGCGGTGAAAGCTTTTGGGAGGTAAATGGCTGTTTGGAAGTGAACCTCCACCAGGGAAGTCAAGAGTGCTGAGGAAGCAGAATGTCCTTCATCCTTTAGCTGCAATGGTGGGGCCACACTGTCGTTGTTTAATAGACTCTTGCACTGTTTAGGCCATATGCTTAACAAATGGCTAAAACTCTGTGCCAAATATGCAGACAGCTAATGTCACAGTGGTTGAGGGCTTGGGTTCTGGAACTGACCTATTTGGTTTGAATTTTGGTTCTACCACTTACTCTTTGAGTGACCCTGGGCAGGTTATTCAAACTATAATTCGTTTTTCCCCCATATGTAAAATGATTGTTCTGGGGAATAAGTGAGAAAAAGCATATAAAGTGCTATGCATGGGCCTTAACAAATGACAAATGTTAACTTTACTCACTGCTGAAAGCACAGATCTAGTTTTGCCCTCTATCCTATACTATCTTGCACAAAGAAGGAACTAAAAATAACTGGGACATCTTCTGTGGGTCCCTTGTTCACCCCCATCAAATTTTCCCATAATCCTGAGGCTTATCTTAAAGCACGGAGTTTGGACCTTACAGGGCACTCAGTAAGTAGGGTAACTAAGCCGCTTGGTGTGCCAGGCCGTGGTATCCCTGCCCTTTCAATTTTCTTTGTGTGTGTGACAGCAGCTACAGCAGGATATTAGCCCAGCCCTTATGGCACTTTGGGTGCTGCAGATCTAGTGGGTATTAGTTGCCAGCTACTGACCCTGAAGGCACAAGCGAATAGGCAGAGAAAAGAACAGGTGTTGGTCAGGACTAATTAGACTGTTGCTGAAAATTAAAAACTCATTTCAGGGGGTGAAACTGCTCAGCAGTGGTGACCCCATCACACCATCGTTGGGCAGGAAAACAAGTGATCTGTGAGCTTGTCTTTCAGACCGACATCCAGAGAAAGGCTCCAGTTTACCAAACAAATTTTTTTGGTTCTCGGTTGAAAATAAATCCCCGCTCTCTGCTCCACTGACTGTCATCAACTTTGCAAAGCTACCCCCATTAGGGAAGGTCTCGCTGTGTGAGGGTCTCATTTATAAAAGCTGTGTTCTGCCTCACAGCCCACACACTGGCTAGGGGTGGGGTTGAGGGACACATCCCTAAGGCACCGAGATTTGTGGCAGGGATCAGAGTGCTGCCTCCCGAGAGGGGGAAGAAAGCAAAGATTACTGCAGAAGGGAGGCAAAGAATGCCTAACCAGTTCTACTCAAATGGTGGGATGGGCGGTGATTTTGCTGGTCATGGAGCTCTAGCCTTCAGTGCTAGTCGTCCCCATCCAGCGTGCTGTCAGATGCGAAGACTTAGTTCTGTCTGGTATCCAAAGGGCCATTTTCAATCCTGGTTTCACAAAAGAATCAACAATGGAGGCTTGAAAAAATATTGATGTCTGGGTCTCAACCTGGACCGCTGATTTTTGGGGGAGTGGGGGTGGGCCCAGACACTACATACAGCAAAAGCTCCCAGCCCAGGTTGAGAGCGCCTGCCTTTGCTTACCCCAGGCCCAGCTACATTTGGGAGTCTAGGACCAACCCCAACTGCTCTAGTGATCAGGTTGCACTTGGGCTGCTGCTGAGAAAGTTCAATCTCAATTTGGCAATGACCCCACCAAAGAAATCTGTATATACACACAGGTACGTGCATACGTATGTGTATATCCATGTGTAGCCAAGTAAGCGAATCCATATTCAGTCTCCAGGGGAGGAAAAGGTGATGTGGTGATCTTACCAAAAGGACCACCAGCCAAGGCAAGGTTTTCCCCACTGCCTCCCTTGACCTCAGCTATTATGTCCCACTCTGTTTCTCAGTCCTGGCTCTTTCCATTTCCAGATGACCGACCTTTGTAGGCACTCGCATATGGCGGCTTGGATGGAGGGGGATGAGCACAGGGCTTCTGGGCCCAACAAGAAGACTGAACGTGCCTGGAGTGGTGGAGGAGGAAAGTGAGGTGGAGAAGAGGGGCAAGAACTAGAGCTCCTGGGTATCCGAGGACTCGACGGACTCCGAGAGTCGGGCCACAACTCGGGTCAGGGCCCTGTTCTCAGCCTGCAGTTGCTCGTTCATCTGCTTCAAGGTTTGAATCTGTTTTAGCTGGTGGAGGTTCTGTAGAGTGAAACATGGAGGGGACAGACACACAAGAGAGAGAGAGAGACAAGACAGACCAGAGGAGATAAAAGTAGGACAAAGAAATCACGTGACTTTCTGTTTTTGTTTTTAGTTGGCATGCAAGAAAGGAAATGAGAAAGGCAGGAGTAATGGTGGGGGTGGGAGGAGGGATAATGGAGAGAAGCACCAACGAGGGGGAGAGCCGGGCCTATGATTCCTGGCTAAGGTCTCACTATGTTGAAGATCAGCCATCTGAATACAACCACCAGGCTCTCAAATAGCACATCTGGATGGCTTTTGAGAAGGACAGCCCACCATGTGGCTTGGGGCCTTCTCAACAGGTTTAACATGGCTGAGCCATAGCCTTGGGGCCCCTTCTTCATCATCATTGGGACCTGGAGTTCAGGACTCGGTGTGTTCCCAAATCCAGCTACTGCCCTTTTCTTTCTCCCTCCTCTTATCTTGGCCCCCTACTCCTACTTGTTCTCTTTCTGGGTCCTTCTCTTACCTCATTTATTTTTTTAATTTAAGAAATAAAACAAGGAAAATAAAAGAGGGGCTGTTGTTCAAGAGTTTTCTGTACAAGGCATGTACTGTTTAGGAGGGTGAAGTGGCACATACCAAGATAAACCAGCAGCTGTCAGGTGGTCCTCTAACCTGTTTTGTGGGATGCTTCACTAACCCTGCTAGCTCTCCACTGCAGTCTGGAAGCTTGTTCCAGGACCCAAGAACTGCCAACCCACCTTTGACCTGCCGTACGACTACCTGCAACACGAAATTCACAGCTAACTGTGCTCTCTTTGTCCCAGCTCATGAAGAGGCTGGGAGCTGCTTCAAAGTGTTCACATACAGATTCATCCTCTGAAAATCACAGTTGTACACAAAAGTTGGAGAAATCATAAATGCCCATGATAACGGAATTGGTTGGACTGATGTACTAGTCCAGACTTCACTATTTGTAAGTGTTGCAAATGGAACAGAACAACCAGCCCCCAGATATTTTTCCTAACACCTCGTATCCTCTAAAGGACCTAAAGACTTCAATAAATGGCATTATATCATAGGCCTGCTTACTGTCACTTGTCCTTTCCTAAGTGGTCATCTGGACTGACCCTGTAACTGAGACCATCAGCTCTTTGGGAGGAGGAAAATGATTTCATTATGCAAATGGAGCTTCACAGAGGAAGGTGAAAAATCCTGTGGGTCACAGTGACTACGAACCAGAGAGAAGTCTCTCGTACCCACACAGATGTGAAGGACAGAAATGAAGGATTAGTGGAGTTATAGTTGGAAGTGAAGAAGCAAGAAAATGAAAGGTAGCATGAAGGGGAAAAAACAGTGAAAAGGAAAAACAAGCAGAGACAAACTGCTCAATAGCTCTTTCCCCAAAGAGGGAGAATGAGCGCCTTGGAAAAAAGGTTGAGCAGCCAAACACTTCCACGTAGCCATTGAAGGGCAGGGACCAAGCAATGCTCTTTACCCTCTGCAAGCATCTCGGCCACGAAGAGGACTGAGATCAGAGGAGATCATGGTGCAGCATATGGAAATATTTAAAGAAATGGGCAGGGACCAAACATAAGAACCAATGGAAAGTCCCTGGCTCTCACCCTTCTTTGGTGTTGACATTGGACCAAAGCTTTCAACATAATCATTGTCATTATATAAAGTGGTCCTTGCCTCCTAGGGAATAATATTCAAGACATAAACTATGAAAATTATTCAATCTAACATGTGAGTACAAGCAGATCGAGGTGGAAGGATTTGGAAGTTATCAGCATGAGGGAGAGAGGCAGGAAACAATCTTGTGGAATGTTCCATAGGAAAGAGTACTGAAAACAAGGCACGGCAAGTAGGAGGGAAGGGCAGGGCACAGAGCAGGGTGGGCAAGGGCAGGATCAGCTAGTGATATTTCTAGAGTGAGTAAAAATAAAAATTCCAAGACCAATCTAAAAGGGCAGTGGCTGCTGGGCCCCTCATGCAAGGACCTGGGAAAGGGAAGAGAAGGTCTGGAAAGGAGGCTGATGCTGAATGGAGGATGCAGTAGAAAAGTCCTCGGGTCAGATGTGGGCAAGACCAAGTGCAGCCTAGCACAGCTCACGCTGACATGCACGCCTGTCAGAGGCTGGCATATAATCCTACTCCATTCCAGGATCTGAGTGGAGTTTGTCCTGGGAAGAATTCATAAATACTTACCTTTCAAGTATGGCCAGAAAGGCACAACCTGTGTCATAAGCACAGAGCCTCACATACACCTGGATGAGCCCCTCTCATGGTTCATTTCACCTGGTCTTTGTACTTTATTTGCCAGAGTCACAAAAACAGGCACCAGAGTCACTTTCTGTCCTCGAGCACCTACTTTATCCTCAGGGTTCACTGGAGGTCAACTCTCAACCTGCTCCCTACTGATTGCTCCAAGAGGTTTGAGCATCTGTATGAACCAAATATGCAACAGGCATGGGGTCTAACTGGTCCTTAGTTCAAGTGGGCCCCAGATTCGACAAGACAGTTACCTGTGCTGTTGCCTGACTACCTAGAACACACAGATTTTGCCCACTGATCATTCCTAAGATGTTGATTACCATAAACTGTAGCCCGGATGAAGAAGGACTTGAAGGCTAACCAAGCAGCTTCTTAGACTCCTTTAAGGCCAGTGATACCAATTTTATGATGTCTGTATCTATATATCTGAAGTTTTTGCCTATCTGAAGGTACAAACACAAGCATCCTGATGTTGGTGCTGACTGCGAGGCTTGTATGTCCCTCCCCTTTTGTCCTCTAGGGGGAGCTGGACGATTTGTAAACCTGGTATTAGGCTTTGATGTAAGCAAAGGGTATTTAGGGGCTTTAGAACTTGCAGGTGTTTCTTCATTTGACTTTGCAATTGGTAATAAAGAATAATGGAAACTGACTGGGTCGATTTTCTTAACTAAAAAAACAAACAAAAAGCAGTTTCAAATTGGTGTACCTATTGGCCTGAGGTCTAAATAATCAGGATCTGGCTCCACTTGATGATTTAAACTGAATTTGAAGCTGGCTGGCAAGTAACTCATGGCTGAGAGTGCCAACGCTTTCTTTCTTTCTCTCTCTCTCTTCCTTCCTTCCTTTTTTTTTTTTTTTTAAATGTAGGCTTCATGCCCAGTGTGGAGCCCAATGTGGGGCTTCAACTCACGACCCTGAGATCAAGACTTGAGCTGAGATCAAGAGTAGGACGCTTACTCAACTGAGCCACCCGGGCACCCTGGGAGCAAACACTTTCATGTATTATGATCTCTACTGAGGAAAGAAAGGAACTTGTGGCCTAGTTTAGGAAATCATAGCCTGATAGGATAGGGAGAAAGAAATACGTAAGCCTGTCTCAACCCATAGGACTGAGAGCAAATAGAACCACTGAAGGGGCTCTCATACTTGGCAATTAGAATTGGAATGGAGATAAAGAAGGGCCTCCACTGCCCCAATTTGGGACTTTCTGGGTCTTTGTGTGTGGGCCTGGGTGGATGTGGTGCAGAGTTCTGTGACTAGTGGGTATGGGCTGGTTTTGGGCTCCTGGGTACTCATTAGAAGGCACCAGCTTTGGCCTCGTTTACATGTTCCTGATCAGCATTTAGGCTATTCTTTAATGAGTACCACTGACAGCTGCTTAACAGCAGAGTACAGATGGCATAGCTCAAGGGGTTTCAAAAATGGTGGAGCCCCCAGTGCAACCAAGAGCTGTGGACATTCGTTCATCAAGAACTGTTTAGCTCTACTAACATACTGCTCTAGATGGGAGAGAATACTTATGTGTGGTAGGTGAGGTAAGTCTGGAAAAAGCAGAAGATGGAGAAGCTAATGGTGTTGGATCATCCTGTTTTTATCATCTCAGGAGAATCATTTCTTATTTAAGTGCCACTTTTTGGAGATATAAGTAGGTATTGTTTGAAATTCTATGTGAATGTGATCAGTTATAGCCTTGGAATGGTAACAACAGAACTCAAGGGCAAGGTTTGCCACATCTCCTTCATTCTGGAATTATAAAGGGTTACAGGACTATCGGCACTGCATCTTGTGTAAACTTTTACCTTGTCAGGTCCTGAGAAGTTTTCAGTAAATAATCAACTTTTTTGGCCATTGAAATGATAAACGTCTCTCCTAAAGCACTCCAATTGCATATTAGGGATGCTTGCTCGCAGAAAGGGATTTGGGGCTCTGCCTCATTATTACCCCAGTGCTTCTGGTTCCCAGGTTAGAAAAAAACAACCAAATAAACCCCTGTGTTTCACCAGATGAATGCTTTGCATCACACGTCATAAAATAAGATCCTTGGAGGAAAAAAAAAAAGAAAAGCCACGCAAGCGCTAGGTGATTATGGGCATGTGGCATCACGCCCCGCAGGGCTCAGATGCTCCCAAATCATAGCCAGGTGGCTACCCCGAGCAGCTCTATATTCCCTGCTGCTCTACATCCCCTTTTCCAGGCAGCGAATTGACTCTTCTGGGTAGGTTACCAGTTCTTAGCACTCAAGACTGCCTATGATGGCAGTTGTTCGTTAAAGTGGCTAATGGAGATGATGGTCACTGTAGGCCATGGCGAAGAGAGAGAGGAAAGCAGTGAGCCATGAAGTGTCGCTGGTGGCATGAGCTAATTCTAGTGGGAGAATCCCGAATATTACTGAATGTTGCAGGGGAGATGGACCGGGGCAGAAAATCGACACGCAAATTAATCTGCATTCCACTGCAGAACGTCTCAAACTGTGTTCCTTCCAGCAAAGGGCTGGGACAGGGAGGGGCACCAGGCAGGAGAGTCTCTGGCCATGTTGAGCCTTCCCTAGGCACCTAGTGTGAGGCCTGGGAAGCTGGAAACCTTGTTTTAGCCTTTGTAACCAGCCCCTTGAGGGGCAAGTTATTGCTTGGAAAACCTTAGAAGTTCAACTTAATTTTGTCTCCAGCCTGCCAGACACCTCTCCTTCAACCAAAGGCAGCACTGGCTCCCAGAAGGGCCTTGAGGCGTCCACAGTGGATGCCGCGTGAACCGAGAGAGTCTACGAAATGGCTGAGGAGAGGCGCTCGGCAACTCTACACATCGTCTCTTCTTGAGGGGGTTGAGGGGTGGCCCTATGCTCAACCACCCAGTCCTGGCAGGCACTCAGAGAAGGGGCACACAAAGGGAGAAAGGAGAGTTCTCCATACCTTCATCTCCTCCTCCATCTCGGACATTTTCCGCTCCAAGGCTCTCCTCTCCTGTTTAGAAACAACGAGACTGTTGAACATCTACTGGGCTTAGAAGGGAGTCAAAATGCTGCCTTCCAGCTGCCATGTGATCAGCAGCGTCATGTCTCAGGCAAACGTCAGGCAGGAGACTAAGCACTGTCTGATCCGTGGATGAAACTACTTCACTGAGAGAAATCACACGATCTAAATCTCCCATCAGACGATTAGAAGATATACAAATGGTAGAACCAGGGTACTCAGGGCTATTCTGTGGAAGCTGAAGATTTTGTGGAATTTCAAATGACTGCAAGTGACCAAGACCCTTGCTCTCTAATAACATAAAGTCATCATTATTTTCAGCAACTCTCCCCTCAAATTCCTAAGAAACTGCTTCTACCGTGATGGGGAGCAGATGGTGAGTGGGGAAGTAGCCATCATTGTCTATGAAGAAATAGCACCCCTCCCCCTAACCCATTTCTTTCCCAGCAACTGACTCCTGATTTAGCTTCAACTTGATGAAGATTCCTTGATTAGATGAGATAGCAAGGAGGTTTTGTTACAGGCCAAGGAAGTAAAATATAAAACTTTGCTGCTTTCCAAATTAAACAGGAGAGATGGGAACATATTATACCCTTAGGGTCACGTCACAGCTAGGGTTCATCAATAAATCTGAGTTTTCCCAATCCAAGAATGTCAAATACTAGAAAAATATTCTGAATGCAGTCGGGAGGAGGTCAGCAATTGAACCAGAACCCCCCCACCCCCACCCTCAGAGAATGTAAAAGATTCTGCCAGCTCATATTTCAAGTTATAAAACCTAAATCAATGGCAGAGGGTCCTGCTGAAACTTCCTTTCTGTTCAAGGCGATGGGAAGGGTAAAGAGACCTTGGTCCTGGGTGTGTACATGTGTGCTGATTTACAGCAAACCAAAATACACTGTAGGTGTGTGTGTGTGTGTGTGTGTGTGTGTGTGTGTGTGTGTGTGTCCAGTCCTGTCTATACGCCAAACCAATGCATGAAATGACCTTCCGAGGACCCTTCCCACTCCAAGACTCTAATACGTGAAAAGTACTGACCATCTGAAGAAGCCAAAAGGACTAGCAATCAAATTGCTGTCCAGAGTCACACAAAAAGAATTTATTATCAAGCTGGGAATGGAATGTGGCAGAACTCCCGCCTTCTTAAGATGAACTTTTTCCACTGGCATGAACTACAAAGTCAGAGAAACTAAGATGAAACAGAGAGGAGAGAAACACACACGTACCCGTTTCTCCATCTCCAGCATCGACGATCGGTCAGAGGTCTTTTCTTGTTTCTGCTAGTGCAAATTGAAGAGAAACAGTGGTCACTTAGGTTGTCTCAGGGTCACTAGGAAGCCCAGTCTGGTTCGGCTTCACCATTGGACATCCAGAAATAGATGTCAGGGCTTTGGGCTCTCACTGTGACTGAGGCCCCTAGTAAACAGATTCTGGTAGATCTTGAAGCCTAACGTTATCGCCTCTCTGAAGTTTACAGGATTCCCACTGGGGAGCGGAAAGCAGCAGTAGTGTTCCTTGAAACTTAACACTGCCACAAATGCAAAGACATTACCAAAACACACACACAAACACTTGCTAGGTCTTCAACACAACTATCTTCTTATACCTCACCACCCCCTCCCTTCCTCTTTTCTGTGAGTCATCTCACGACCCAGGGGAAATGAAAAGTGGCTTTTCTTCTTTGAAAGCTAGAGACTCATGAGCTTGAGTGTCTAAGCCCTATGGCACTCTTCTTCTTCCTTTTTTTTTTTTTTTTTT